ATGAATTACTAATCTCAAGTTTTTTGAAGCAGGATCTCATGTAGCCAAAGCTGGCCTTGAACATCTGATCCTCCCACCCCAACTTCCCAAGTACTAGAGTTACAGCATACTCACTTCAGTTAAGCATTTTCTACCAGTTGGGCTACATCTCCAGTCCACATTCAGAGGTACTTTGTTATAAGAGACCAAAAGAATATTCACAACTCATCTTGTCTTTCTGCTTTTGTGCCCATTTTTGCCTGAAAGATGAGGTAATGCTACAGAAAAGTCCCAGGAAAAAAAAAAAACGATAGCCTGGAATGATGGCATACACCTAAAATCTAGTCCTGGGAGATGTGTAGGAGGATCATTGTTTGAAGCCAGCCCATGCTACAGAGTAGAATCCTATTCTCCCTCTGTGGTCTCCACAGGAACCTACATATGATGCACATAGACTCATGTGCAATCACGCACACATAAATATAGAAATGTTACAGACAAACCCTGTGTCAAAAACCAAAGAAATAAAAAATAGGAGAGGGAAAGAGAGGCTCTTGAAGATTCCTAAAGAAATGTCAACAAACAAAAACAAACCCAAAAGCAAAAGACCCCCTAAACAAAACCCAATTGCTTTGTTTCTGGGCGAGCAGCCCTTTAGAGACTTAAGTCATAGCCTTAAGTCAGAAGATACCCTGACGTTCTAAGAGAGCACCCTGCCCTACTACCCCTAACAGCTTGTCTGTATAGGTAGGTTGATTCAATTCTCTAGAGACCAAAGGATATCTAGACGGTCCCTTAGGGATTTGAGAGTTGCTCACCTCATTTAATTGGGGGGGGGCGGGGGGAGGGAGGGAATAATCAAGACAGGAAATTGCCTTTAGGGACACTTTTACTTGGAAAATTACAACACTAGTACAAGTCGAGTCTTACACATTTAACATTTGCTTGTTGAAAGCAATTCATAATATCAAAATTAATCATGTTTTACTTTTATCCTCACAAGAACACAAAAATGATGAAGGGGAACTTAAAACAGAAAAATTTAAAAAGGTAACACAACTTCTCTTAGTAGTCCTTGGGTAGTTACGACAGAAGACTCTCCATCTTTTGTTTCTTTGAATGAAGACCTTGAGCCAAAGTCTTGTTTGTTCCTAGTATCTGCTTCTGCCTCCCCCTCTATCAGATCGGCTTCCCCCACGGCCACCTCCTCTTGGTGCTCCACGGCTTGAACTGCTGTAGGAATCACGTGGAGGAGGGTACCCCCTTTCCATAGAAGGCGGGAGCCCCCGTTCTTGTCTGCCAACGCGATCACGGCCGCTTGAGTAGAGATCACTTCTGCTGCTTGAGTAACTGTCTCGACTTCCACCGTAGCCATCACGTGAGCTGCTGTAATCATCGTAGCGACTGCTTCCTCCATAGGATGGCGGCGGCCCTCGTGTAGGGGGTGCGCTGCGGGAGTTACCATAACTCTCATAGGAATCTCTGTAGGAACCTCCACTTGGATGATCTGAATAGTCACGGTCCCGACCATATCCATCTCTATCACCGTAGCCTCTTGATGGGTAGTCGTCACGTGAACTGGAATGACTATAATCGCGGTAGGTATAATCTCTTGGTGGCGGTGCATAATCTCTGGTGTCACGGGAGCTTGGGTAATCTCTGCTTGAATAGCTGTCTTTTGTAGAATATCCATCATCTCTTGGGGACAAATAAACATCTCTACGAGATGGCAGGGGTTCCCTACGTGGAGGGCCTCCATAGCTATCTCTTCCGCGTGACACTGGGGCTCTTCCTCCCATCCCACTGCTGCTTCGAACTGGTCCTGAAGGCGTTGATCTTTTCGGTGGGGGACCCCCGCTTCGTGGTGGTGGTCCTCTTTTTACTGGAAGTGGTCCCCTGGAAGAACTCATGTTAAAGTTCATGGAATAGCCACCATCATCCATGTATCCTCCACGCGAAGGGGGTCCCCTAGTTCCTCCACTTCCTCCTCGAAGACCTCTGGGGGGGCCTCTGCTTCTTGGAGGTGGAGGTGGTCCACGCCTGCCACTTTCAAATGATGGTTTGGTAGCTTGCTCCACCTTGATGGCTTTCCCATCCAAGGACTTCCCATTCATATCTCTAGCTGCATCTTTAGCATCTGCTGGGCTTTCGAAGGTGACAAAAGCAAATCCTCTTGATTTGTTGGTCTCACGGTCTTTCATCAAAAGTATTTCTACTATTCGTCCATACTTGCCAAATACTGCTTCCAGAGCTTTCTCATTTGTTTCTGTATTGAGCCCGCCGATGAAGAGCTTCCCTGGGCGATCTGCTTCAACCATCTTTCCTTCCAGCTGAGAGTCGGAGGGGACTGGACGGTCTCAAGCTCCTAGAAGCTCGCTGAATGGGCCTTCAAGTAGCACACCGGTGACAGCTGCTGGTCTCAGAACAGAACAGAAAAGCCACTAGGACTACTGCACACGAGCACCTGTCAATAGTTTTGTATTAGTTTCCTCAGGCTGCTGTAACAATGCATTGTAAATGGGGGGAGGGACTAAAATATCGATTTCTTTATATTTCAGGAAGTCATTACGTATGAAGGTGAGGTTTCTACCAGAAGCCTGAACAAAAATCTGTACCATGCCTCTCCTAGTGGTTGTCAGCAATTCTTAGGATGCCTTGGCTTACAGATATCTTAAGCCAGTTTCTGCTTTCACCATACATGCATGGTGCATACACACCACCTGTCTCTCATGCACACCTTCACGTGAGTCTTAAAAGGACAGCAGTCATTTGATTTCAGACCCACCTTACTGTAGTACAATCTCTTCTTAGCTAATTATTCTTAAAAACATCTCATTTCTAACAGAAGCCAAATTCTGAGATTCAGAAAGACATGACTTTTAATGGGGACATTACTGAACAGTCACTTAATTTAAACCTGACCCATCAATCTGCATTATCTGGGTAGTTTTAAGTATCTTTGTAATATACAGAAAAAAGACATTGATGATGGATACAGAGAGTGAATGATGTAGCCACTGAGGAAGCCACTAGAGACATATGCGGAGGAATGTTATGCCAAGCTAGCAGAGACTGGAACATCACAACCTCAAGTCAAGGAAGCCAGGGAATGCCAACAGCCACGAGGAGCCAGAAAGGGCCTTCAGAGAACATGGTGACCCTCCAAAATTTCCATTTTAGCCTATCTTCTTCTTTAACAGCAGAATAATGGACATCTATTGTCTGGGTGCATCCAGTTTTTTTTTTTTTTGAGTGGGGAATGGTGGTGGTAGTATTTGTTATAGCAGCCCTAGCAAACTAATACAACCCTTGGCACTACAATTCTCAATGAACTATCATTAAAATATTCTTCTATGAATTAAGATTCTGTTCTAAACAGATCAAAGTCTCTAGAAAGAATTTGTGAGCAGGCTTACTTAAGCCAGCACCATCTCTGCGATGGCCTTTTAATCTGAGGCAGATTTTTTGAACCGAGAAAAATCACTGTAAGAAAACCGTTATAAATTTTACTTCCTAAAACTCCACTTACCTTGGACTGCCTTCTAGTAAGCATTTTTAATCACATTTCATGTACTTCTTCTGCCTGATAAAATTGTTTAATGTCTCCCTATTAAGTTCTTTTTATCTTGAGATTAGCTTGTCTTCAGGCTGCCTGATGCATAATTACCCGGCAGTGGGGGGCTGTGCAACTGGGAACTGATAGCACCAACTGCTTAAAGCAGCTTAGTTTCTGGGCATCGAGTCATGTCAGCAAGGTAAAGTTAAATAGAGCAAATTGCAAGCCGAGTCTCTTTCAAGCTTTGAATGCGTCCAGAATGAAAGTCTGGTACAATCGCTTTCGAACGTTACGTTCCATAGTAAACTATCCAAGGAGCTGATACCAGGCTGCTTCAAAATGTCCCACAATACTTTGTTCCTTTCTTTCTTTGGGTGCATAAAGAGGAAAGGAGGTGGATGCTCGGAGGACCATTCGTCCAACTACGCCGTAGGTCGCCAGAACGCAACGCCAGCGGCCAGGGGGGCGGACACGAGACCCTCCACCCCGGGTCTCGACCCTCCCCGCTTTTGTTCTGAGTTCCCGGGCCCCTCGAGCCGTCCTGTTGCTTTCGCGGTTCAGCTCCGGGGGTCAGGCAGAGGCCCGCACCACGCGGCCTCCGGAATCGCCCGCCCACGCGCAGCACACGGGTGGGGAGGAGCCTGGATGGCTCTCTCGCCGCCCCCCAGGGAAGATTTGCCCCATCCCGGCCGTCCTCCCCACTCCCGGGGCGGGTTCCGGCCGGGAAGGCGGTCGGGCAGAAAGGCCCGGGCAGGCCACCGACCTGGCGGGAAGGCCCGGCCCGCCTTCCCCGCCTTCCCGCCGCCGCCGCCGCCGCGGGAAGGCGGGGGCCCCGCCGTCCCGCACGTCTGCTCGGCCCCCGGCTCTCAACCTACCCCCGGGGCTAACGCTTCCCCAACTAGGAAGCCGCTTTCCCGCGCCGGTCGCCACACGCGTCTGCCGCCGCCGCTCCCGCCGAGAACCAGAGGCCGCGAGTGGCCTCCCCTCCCCCCGCGCAACGTCAACGCGACGTCGGCCGTCGTCGTAATGCCCCGAGGACGAGCGCACTCGGAACCTCCCGCGCCCGCGCGGCGCGCGCAGTCGCCGCCACCGCGCCGTCCGGTGCTACTCCCCGGGGGGGCACCCCGCGCGGCCCCCGGGGCCCAGGGCGGAGCGAGAGACGCCCCCTGCGAGGCATGCCCGGGGACTCGGGAGGCCGTCGCTGTAGCTTTACCGCGGCGGCAGCCACGATTGAGGTTGGGCGTCTGGGGCACCGCGTCCCGCTCCCCCGCCGCGGGCTTCCCCAAACCTGGCCACGTGTGCATGCATGCCAGCGGGTCCTGCCGGCGCACCCGGTGCCCGGTCTCCCCTCCACCCTCCTCGCTCGCCCGGTGCGCCTCCGTTTTACGTCCCCGGCCCCCCGGAGTCCTCGGCCCGAGTGCGCGCCTACTAGGAGGCGCGCGGTAGTGATGGCGGCGCTCAGCGAGGCTTTCCCGTCACTGGATACTACGACTCCCAGCCCGCCCCAGAGCCGCCCGAGCCAGCCCTCCGGTCTTTAGTTTACGAGTGGCGATTCGACTCGCTCTGCTGCATGTCTGGAGGGACCGAGGGAAGTGTGGAGACGCCCGGGGGACTCGGGGATCGCAGCTCGGAGAGCCAGCCGGCCAGCCCTACAGACAAAACCCACCCACCCTAAGCGACATGAGGCTGCTGGAGAGGGCGCGGAAGGAATGGTTCCTGGTCGGGATAGTGGTGGCGATCGGCGCCGCCAAGCTGGAGCCGTCGGTCGGCGTGCACGGGGGTAAGTGCCGCGCCTCGGCCGGCTCCCCCTTCGGAGCGCAGCAGCGGGCGCCTGCGGGGAGGGGCGGCCGCGCCGGTGCCTCGGCCACCGCTGCCCGCTCCGCCCCGGCCCGGCCTCGCCGCGGGGGGCTCGCTCCCGGGGGAAGGGGCTTCGCAGGTGCTGCCCGCTCGCCCAGACGGCCGGGCGCGAGCGATGGGTGGGCAGAGAGAGTGGGGTACAGCCGGTGAGTTCTGCTCTGGGTCCGGGGTGTGTGTGTGTGTGTGTGTGGTTACAGAAAATGACATTTTGTTCTCTCCTGCGCTCAGAGTAGCATCCCATCCCGAGGGACTTCAGGGTGCCTGGAGTTCCGTGTCTGTCCTGGAGTGGCCACCTCGTTATCAAGTCTGTTTCCGACTCATCCCATCTGTACCTTAAAAAAAAAAGCCATTGGAGAGAGAGAGAGATTTAAAAAAAAAAGGGACACCCTTGCCTAAAAACTGTGTATTTGTAGCTCATATGACGGAGAGTAAATGTGTGCCTTAGTTGCTGACACTCCAGCCAAACTCCCAAGCTGACTGACACGTCGCACTCCTTCCTCGCGGGGTACTACTTCCGTGTGCTGCCGGGATTCAGTTGGTACAGCTGCAGAGTAACAGACGCAGGCTGTGTTAGGCTGCGCACAGTGTATGCTTTGACGAGGAAGTGTGGACGGGTTAAAACCCCACTCAAAGCTGGGAAGAGTAGGAGCTTTGTGATGTGGCCTGTGGGCACTGTTGGGGACAAGGGAAGTGTCATTGGTCTTTCATAACCTCTCACCCACCTTTGGACAACCCTGTCCTGCTTTTCATGGACGTTAGTTAGTTACGTTTCTTCAATTCACTCGTGTTTTTGACCTTGTGTGTGAGATCCCAGGTTTACTGACCGGTAAATCATGCAGGGGCCCAAATAGGGACATAGCAGAACATACATAGTCATTTTCAAGTAGGCGGTGCCAACGTGGGTATTTGAGATTGTACCGTCCTGTTAAAACCTTCTGGGAGTGAATGCATGGTATCACAGGATAGTAAGTGGTTCCTTGCTTCCCACATCCCTAGTTTCTCCAGTTAAAAGTAGCGTCTAGAATCGTTTGAATGGATTTAAAATGGTGATTATTTCATTTTTCCCTTTCAGATTTACATATTTTAAAATTTAAGTGCACCGTATAGTTGTGACCACAACTCCCGTCACTTATCCTGCTGAAGCTACCAGTTAGGGCCCCCTCCAATCCCCACAGGGTTTCTCAGTGTAGCCCTGGCTGTCCTGGGGCTCCCTATGTAGACCAGGCTCGCCTTGAGCTCAGAGATCCGCCTGCCTCTTCCTCTGGAGTTAAATTTGATACACCCTCTCTGTGAGCTTTTGTGAAGTTTGGGAGTTTGAGTTCTGTTCCATGAAGAACCCCTGGTCTCTGGAGCCAAGAGAAGTTGGAGTAACCCACAGTGCACACTGTACTGGTTACAGCGCTTGGGGCTAGATCTCTGTTTGCTCAGTAATGCGACGAAATTCTTGATGATGTGGCCTGTAACTCTGCAGGGGCTGGGCTTGCCAAGTGTCTTTTACCTTGAATTTTCTGAGTGCTGTGTGGACAGCACAGTTGCAGAGTGGTTGAATGAATCAGTTCTTTGGGGCCTCTTGCCCCGGCAGACAGAAGACAGAGTGATCTTGTTTGTTCTGCTGGACACTGCTGATGGCACTTTTGCACGTTACTGTGTCTTAGAAACGTGTTCTATTTTCCAACAATCCTTACGGTAGCAATACAGGATTTTTTTTTCCAGTCATAAAGTAGAGCAGAATACAGGATTTTTTTTTTGCAGTCATAAAGTAGAAGCAGACTCTGCTCAGCTATAAGTAAATTTTTATAACATTTTAAGCCATCGTGTCACTTTGTGTGTTGGTTGGAGTATTGGGGAGTGAACCCAGGACCTTGGCACACACACCTGTGAAGCACACTCTAGGCTGAACCACTTCCTCAGGACCCTCCCCCAGAGCTTCTTTTGTGATGTGAAGGCCTGAAGCCAGGTAACACATCCTAGCTTTGGTAGGGAAGAATGGAGACAGCTTCCTGTTTTATAACAACAATGGCAAAGATCTATAATAATGGGGAGGGAGGGAGGGAGAGAGGGAGAGAGAGAGAGAGAGAGAGAGAGAGAGAGAGAGAGAGAGAGAGAGAGAGAGAGAGAGAGAGAGAGAATGAATCACTATAAAGAGAACGCCCTGTAGAATAAAGCCTTTTTCTATTTTCTTAATTTTAGTCCAGAGGACCAGGGCAGAATCAACTAAATATTAGACATTGCATGTTTCTTCTAGGGTATTGCATGTGTAAAATCTGCTTGTCTTAAGGCCAGACAGCCGAGTGTTGGTGGCGCACACCTTTAATCCCAGCACTCGGGAGGCAGAGGCAGGCGGATCTCTGTGAGTTCAAGACCAGCCTGATCTACAGAGTGAGTTCCAGGACAGCTTCCAAAGTCGCAGAGAAACCCTGTCTCGAAAAACAAAACAACAAAAAAGGAAAAGCCAGACAGTTGGGATTTTTTTGTGTAGGTTGTTAGGTTGAGAGCTTCATTTTTTGTTACCATTTCAGCTGATGGTCTCTCGTAAATCCTGTTGAATAAAAAACAAAACTCAAAATAGATCAAGCAACTCTTTCACCGGGCTCCTCATTAACAAAACTTAAAGAACAAGGGCAGAAATGTCACTGAAAAATATTTCTCTTATAACTTTTTTTTTTTTAATTTGACACAGGTGTAGCCCTGCCTGCCCTGGAACTCACTCTGTAGACCAGGCTGGCCCCGAACTCACAGGGATCCGCCTGCCTCTGCCTCTTGAGTGCTGGGATTAAAGGCGTGCGCCACCACAGTCCCGCCCGGCCTTTCATCCTTATAGTCCCCTAAAACATCTCTTTTAGGTACCAAGCATGGGCTTTGCATGCTGGAAATGTGATTTGCTTTTTTAAAGACAGGATCTTTCTATAGAGCCCTGTCTATTTTGTAGCTTGCTATAAGAACAGCTATATGGCCTCTGCCTCCCAAATTCTGGGATTAAAGGTGTACACCACCACGCCTGGATAGAAATGTAAATTTTAGAAGTTTAATCTTTCTTTTTTCTTTTTCTTGGATTTTCGAGACAGGGTTTCTCTGTGGCCCTGTAGATCCGCCTGCCTCTGCCTGCCGAGTGGTGACTATCTAATCTGTTAGTTAGCTGCGTGCGGTGTGTGTATGGAGGTCAGATGGCAACGTGCAGGGGTCAGTCCTCTCCTACCATGGACTCTGCGGATTCAACTCTGTCTCGTTGGCGCCATGCAGCTTTACCCACTAAGCCGTCGTGTCGGGTCCAGGAGTTCATCTTTTAAATGCATCCACGATGATACACTCTCATAGACATGTTTTATTTTATTTAGTTAGCTTATTTATTTCATTGTTTGGGACAGGGTCTCATTACGTAGTTCTGGCTGGTTTGTTGATTAGGCTGGCCCCAAACTCACAGAGATCCACCTACCCGCCTCTGCCTCTCAGATTGAAAGTGTGTGTCACCACGTGGGGGGGGTAGGGGCATTCTCTTTTTAAAGAAAAGTTTTGGTACTTTTCATTTTACTTCTTACTAATTGCACCTATATCTGGTTTCATTCTTTGATGACTCAGCCCAGCCTTTTTTTGCTCATTTTCTTTTGTTTTATGGATGCTGTGTGTTGAGCCCAGCTTTGTGCAAGACGAATTACATCCCTGAGCTGTATGCCCCCCTCCCTCCCATCCTGTCCCTCCTTTCAGGGCTCATAACCTGTGGAGTATGGGCGAACTTCCAGGGACCAGCCCTTAAAGAACATCTGCACCCCTGCCAGAAGCCGTCAATTGTGGAGAGCTACACTTAAGCATCCTTGTTGCAATTTTTAAGAATTCTCTTGAATGGCTTCCTGTCTAGGCTGTTATTTTTTTTGGGGGGGTGGGGTGAGGTAGGGGTTGCATGTCTCCTTTTCAGTCACCTCCACAGTCAATTGGTAAATGAATCTGCAAGAAAATGGATGGACATAGAACCCTCTACTATTAAAGAAATTGAATAACTTTCCAGATGGGAAGAACTGTAATAGGTATTGGTGTAGATTAATTCATCTTTAGTTCACGATGCTTTTTAACTTAGTTATATTTCCTTAAAAAAAAAATATATATATATATATATATATATATATATATATATATATAAACAGTGCTGGGTAGTGGTGGCACACGCCTTTAATCCCAGCACTCGGGAGGCAGAGGCAGGCAGATCTCTGTGAGTTCAAGGCCAGCCTGGTCTACAGAGGGAGTTCCAAGACAGGCTCCAAAGCTGTATTTATTTTTTATTTTAATTCATTCATTTTTTGTTTTGAGACATTCTCTCACAATGTAGCCCTGGCTGTCCTAGCATTAGCTGTGTGTCTAGGCTGGCCTTCTCACAGAGACCCTCCTACCTTTTCTAGGATTGAAAGCATATGCCCAAAACCCTGCAGTTTTAGAATATTTTAGATGATGCTTGGAGGTGGGTTGACACAGATGAGGAATGGCTTCTATGGAATGTTACTGACTTTTTCAGCATTACAAAGAGTTTCTTCTCTCTTGCCCTTTAAAAGACTGGGTGAGGCAGGCAAGGGGCACACCCCTTTAGTCCTCTTCTTAAGGAGGCAGAGACAGGTGGACCTCTGAGTTCTAGGACAGTCCGAGCTCTATAGAGAGACCTTGTTTCAAGAAGCAAACAGCAACAACAAAATAAAAAGAATGGGTTTTAGAACTCAAAATGGCTTCATTTTTCTTAGTGGTCTGTTTTTCCTTTGATTGTTTGAGTTCCTTCCATTTTTGTTGATTAATATTTGCATTGTGTGTAAAGGTAAAGGCAACCACCAACTAACTGAACTTTATAGAGATCTAAATCTTACTGTTTTAGTGACCAGGAAGGTATGATCTTGAGCTTGGAAAAGGGACAGATTTCTATCCTAGTTTAAACTCATTGTTCTGTTTAAATATTTACCTGGTTTTCATTTCTGCACTGGGTGACCTTTACTAGTCTTGAAGAGTCCCAACTTGGGGCTACCTGTTAACCTTACCATTGTTTGTGTCAAGGAGGAGTCTTGGGTCTCTCTAATCTCCCTTTCTCCCCGAAAGGTCCATTGTAAGTAGCCTTGGAATAGCCCCACTACGTTTCTTGCGTTAGAATCATTTAGATGTGCATCTAGTATAACAAAAGTCCATGTGGCCTGTCTCTGGAATTTGGAATATTGGAAGAAAGTTCAGGATTAGTTCACTGAATCAGATGCCACATGTTATCTGTACACATACATCTTTGGAATTGTCTTTATCTTTTGCTTATAACCTTGTCGCTGGTTCTCTTAGACTGTTCTTCTAGAAATTCTGGAGGCACCCCTGTGGAAGAGCCTGAGGATAGGGACTGACAAAAAAGGGACTGGGTGGGAGCGAGAGTAACATGAGTTAAAATTCAGGTAGGATTTCTGGGAGCAGTCTACTTCTAAACTCTACCTCTTAGCTGACCTCTTTGGTTGCTGGCGTGTCTGCCTGCCCACCACTGAGAGAGAGGCTCAGCTCGGAAAGCGGTGTGCCTCTGTGAAAGTCTGTGCTGCCAACGGGACAAACACCTTTCACGCTTGTCTCTTGTGCTCCACTCTCCCAGGCTCAGCTAAGGGTTTTGCATCGATGCCAGGTATGGAATAGTTTACTGCATCGTTTGAGGGGATTCTTGCTTCTTTTATGTTGTCCTGCAAATATCTAAGATTTACTTGTGGCCTAACCAGTTTACGAATGAATAGTGATTTCTTTCGGAGTTTGGTCATCCATCTGTATACCAGTGATATCAGTGATTGTGATCGTGTAATTTGACATGAAGCAAACCTAATATAGCAACAGATTGCCTAAGCAATGCATCACAATGACAGAAATTTATTCCCTTAGTTCTGTAGGCCAGATGTCCAAAGGCTATGGGGAAATCCTCTTTCTTGCTTCTTTTAGCAAGGACCTTTGGCTCCCTTGGCGTGCGATATCATAACTCCAACCACTGTCCTGTTTTTACTGTGTGTCTGCATACAAACATCCCTCTCAGTACCAGTCACTGGGACTGCCTGCCATGCTGCCCGGTGGTAGAGTGCTTGGGTAGAGTGCTTGCCCAGCGTGTGTGGTCTGACTTCATCCCTGGTGCTGCAAACACATAAGCAGACAAGCAAACATGGGCAGTTGTTGAATAACTACCCAACTGCAGTAAAACCTCATCTTCATTTCCTGTACAGTAGTCCTGTTTCCCAGTATGGTCCCACTACACATACAGTGATATGAGAATTTCAGGAACACACATCTGAGCACCAAATAGTGTATCTCCCAGCTTCTTGGCCTGGGCGCCGTGACATGAGACATGATACGTCCACAGGAGATGCTTCACCTGGGGAGGACACTAATGGCGAAAGTAGTCTTTTTTCAAACAGACTCGTTTGCTGCAACTACTTTTCTAACCGCAACTTGTTGCTCTCTTTTTAGGACCGCTGAAGCCAGAGATAACTGTGTCCTACATTGCCGTCGCCACGATATTCTTTAACAGTGGACTGTCGTTAAAAACAGAGGTACTGTCACCTGCGGGCACACGAAGAGCCGTGCAGAGAAGCTAACTTGTCCCGGCTGCTGAGATTTCAGGGGCCTTTGTGAAGCTGCTTACTGTCTGCAGGCTTCACTGGGACAGAAGGTGACTTGACGAGCAGCAGGGCTAGCATGCTGTGTCTATATAGGAACTTCATGGGCACTGAGGACCCAGACATGGATTAGGATGCACGTTTTGTTGTATTTCTTTACTTTTGTTTTCTCCTTGAGACAGGGCTTCTTTGTAATAGCTCTGGCTGCCCTGGAACTCACTTTGTAGACCAGACTGGCCTCGAACTCAGAGCTCCACTTATCTCTGCCTCTTGAGTGCTGATATTAAACCATGCTTGGCTGAGTGTTTTGTTATTTTTTTTTAATTTTTTATTTTTTTGAGACAGGGTTTCTTTGTGTAATAGCTCTGGCTGTCCTGGAATTGTTCTGTAGACCAAGCTGCCCTCAAACTCATAGAGATCTGTCTGCCTCTGCCTCCAGAGTGCTGAGACTAAAGGCGTGCACCACCATCACCCAGGTTAATGACCATTCTTTTAATGAAGAAATTGGTATGAAAAATATTCTTATGAAGAGATGTAATCAAGGAAATAGAAAGTAAGAATAATACTACATCTCACAGAGAAAAGACATGTGGTAATAGTAACAATTAAAAATGCATTTTTTAAGCCGGGCGGTGGTGGCGCACGCCTTTAATCCCAGCACTCGGGAGGCAGAGGCAGGCAGATCTCTGTGAGTTCGAGGCCAGGCTGGACCGACAGCCTCCAAAACAATATAGAGAAACCCTGTCTCGAAAAAAACCAAAAAAAAAAAAAATGCATTTTTTAGCCAGCTGTGGTGGCACATGCTCCTAATCATAGCATCTTAGTTATTTTTCTGTTGCTGTAAAGAGACAATATGACCAAGGCAACTCTTTTTTTTTTTCTGATATTTGGGACAGGGTCTCTCTGTGGCTTTGGAGGCTGTCCTGGATCTCGCTCTGTAGACCAGGCTGGCTTGAGCTCAGAGATTTGCCTGCCTTTGCTTCTCCTGTGCTGGCATTAAAGTGTGTTCACCAACATACCTAGGCTCTTTTATTTTTTCCCCTAAGAAACAGCTTTAAGTCGTGTGTGTATGGGGGTATATGCCTTTGAACCCAGCACTCGGGAGGCAGAGGCAGGCGGATCTCTGTGAGTTCAAGACCAGCGTGGTCTACAAGTGCTAGTTCCAGGACAGCCTCCAAAGCTACACAAAGAAACCATGTCTCAAAAAACTTAAAAAAAAAAAAAAAGATAAAAACCAACAAACAAACAAACAAATAAATGCCTTTAAAAGTTAAAATTCTGGTTCAGCTTTGTGTCTCTGACTTTGTTTAGTATTATTAGGTTTTATTTATTTTTATCCTTTGACAGTTTCATGCATTTATACAGTGCGTCTTGATCATAGCCGCTCCCAGCTTCTCCATTCATTTCCCGACTGCAACCAACCCTTGCTTCAAGCGCCTCCAAGTCCCCTCCCCAGCCGTGGGCTTTTGACCCTGTTTACAGCGCCAGGCAAGAAGTCTTTCCTGTGGAGCGGGCCTTAAATGTAATTTTAAAGCGGTTGTCGGTTACCTTCATAGCAGTCATGCCATTATTGTTAGCACACAGATGGGGGGTGTCCTTGGGTGGGGGCCATGATGGATTCCATGGCAGGCGAGGGTGACTGAGGCAGACAGACAAACACGCCAGGCAGACAGAGCCTAGTGAGAAGTTTTATTAGAAGGGGGCGGGTTGGGGAAGGAAAGAGACAAGAGGTAAAGAGACAGAAAAAGGACAGAAGAGGGAGACAGGAAACGTCGGGTCTGCCCCGTGGGAACAGCGGGAAGGAGAGTGTGGAGAGCAGGAAGAGAAGAGAGTGGACAGAGAAGAACCTGAGAGAGAGTAAGTTGGCGGGGTCTGTCTTTTAAAGGGTCCTTTGCACCCTCGAGCAGACTACACCGCCATGGAACCCTGGGCTGACCAGGGCACTGACTGGGTGCATTCTGCCGGGGGACGGGCGGGCGGCACAGTGCCTCAATCCCCGTGATTATTACAGTGGTGGACACATCTGGGATAGCAGGTTTCCTCACACAGGGTCCAGAGCTAGATAGGTGATGACTTATCCTCCAGTGGCCTGCATTGCACCTTCTGGCACTGTGAAAGCCAGCCAGCCAAGAAGATTTTAGTTTCTTTATGTGCTATAACCAAAGTGCATACTGTCCTTAGCAATAGGGACTTACCCTGTCGTTACTGTCGTATAACCAAGAACTGTGGCAACAGCTTGTGTTGTTTGATGCACCTCTGGGGTTTCCCCAACCAAAAACTTGCAGGGAGATATCTCATTCCTGGCCTTGAGATTTTTCACTTAATAATCCATGTCTTCTAGGGGAAGCATGGTCCACAGATAAAGGGTGCACCCTTTCAAACACTATAGAAATGTGTTTGTAAGACTTGTTGGTTTTTATTTTATGTGTGTGGGTGTTTTGTCTCCATGTATATCTGTGCACCGTGTGTGTGTGTGTGTGTGTGTGTGTGTGTGTGTGTGTGTGTGTGTATGTGTGTGTGTGCTAGGTTATAGATCTGACACAGGATGCGTTTTCCTGTTCTTTTAACTGTAGACCTTTAGAAATGTTATTGGTTAGGGGCAGCCGTTGTTAGAGGGAGTGGGCTTTTTCTCTGAACACCCGAGTTCTGCAGCTGGCTCTGCATGTGGGCAAGCGCTGCAGAGAGGTGTCTGCTATGGGCGGCGCTGGCCTTGGCTCTTGCTTTGTGGAGCAGCTGCCTCCCAAAGTCTCTGCTTGGGCCGTTGCTCCAACTGCTTCCCCTGGCGTTGTCAATGGCTACCACTGTTATTTATGCCATGGGGTATCTGGCAAGGGACTTCATGTTTCTTACTCTTCAGCTTCTTATTATTGTTATCCTGTAAAGCAGCCAGCTTTGTGGGTTGTAAGAGTTGATGGAGGAAAATGTCCCAACATCAGCCTTCCTCTGAGGATCGACTCCTGTGAGCACCCAGGAAGCCTTCAGAGGTACCTAGCTAATTTGGGTGTAATGATGAAGTGCTTTGATCCTGTACTTTATTGTGGTATATGAGTAGCCAGCAAAGCCATTTCCTCCATCAAAGACTGTTTTCAAGCCAGCACAACAGTCAGTCAGTTGTTTTTTTTTTTTTTTTTTTTTTTTTGGTTTTTTTGAGACAAGGTTTCCCTGTGGCTTTGGAGGCTGTCCTGGAACTAGCTCTTATAGACCAGGCTGGTCTCGAATTCACAGAGATCTGCCTGCCTCTGCCTCCCGAGGGCTGGGATTAAAGGTGTGAGTCACCACTGCCTGGCATGGATCTATGATTTTTTATGATTGTTATTATTTTCTATCTTATTTGGTTCTAGGATAGTATATTTTTGTTCACTTGAGTCTATTTGAAAGCATTTGTTTGTCCCACTCAGCTTTGGTGTATGGAATGTTACTCATACAGTGATTTGATGATGCATAATCTAAAACTATATTCTATATAAACATAAATATGGCATTTATTTAAATATTTATGCATTATATATATTTATATAAATATTGTATTTATATATTTTACTTTGTGTTTGTGTGTGTGTGTGTTTGTGTGTACACATGTGTACACACATACATGTGCACATGTGGAGGCCAGGGCTTGATGTCTGGTGACCTCTGTCGCTCTCCACATGAGTTTGGGGTGGGTTTCTCACTGAGCCCAGGTTTACCAGTTGGCTAGCCTGGCCGCCTTTTGAATGCACTCCCGAGCTCTGCCCGTTTCTACTCCCTCCCGTCCATGTACATTTGCCACACCCAGTGTTTTACGTAGGTGCTGGGGATCCAAGTTCAGGCCTTTATGCTTGTATTGCAGGCACTTGACAAACTGACCCATCTTCCCAGCCCATTTTACTACTTTATGAGAATCATAAAGGGGCCTAAGCTAATGCAACATTAAACCTTCAGTTTTTTGTTTCTTTGTTTTTCGAGGTGGGAGTTCTCTGAGTAGCTCTGGCTGTCATAGAACCTGCTCTGTAGACCAGGCTGACCTCAAACTCATAGATATCTGCCTGCCTCTGCCTCCTTGGAATTAAAAGCATGCACAACCATTGCAGTTTTAGTTTCTGACAATTGGTTTCTAATTTTTGAAAAGTTTGAAATGATTTTGGAAATTTTGTGTTTAGCCAATGTAGTAGTTGCTAATTACACCTTTAGGACCAAAATTTCGGACAGACATAAGCTCAGAGAAGAGAGGCTAATTTGGGCTCACGGTTCCAGCTTCTCCTGCCAGGGACAGCACAGTCAGGCAGCTTTCACCAGCAGGGATGTGTATGGAGGCCATTCACAACATGGTAGACTGGAACCAAGGCCCAGGCTCTAACCTTCCAAGGTCTACTTGTGCCAGACACCATTCCCTCTTAGTGATTCCAAACCCTCTGAAAGGAATGAGCCTGTGGGGAGACTGTACATGGTCCAACCTTAATGTCCAACTTCAAGCCTACATTTTCAGAGAACTTGTAATAGACTGTGGCAAGGTCAGTTCATTTAAACAGATACTTAAGGTTTGTTCCTACAGAGCTAGCTCAGAGCCTGCACAAAAGTCCGGAATAGGGCAGAATAGACAGGCTTTTCTTTATTTTTCTAAACTGGTGATGGTTTTTGAAATCCTATTAGCTGAAAAGAAAATACAGCAAGTTCTAAGCTTTTGGTTCATGCGACTTGTTTCAAGCCAAGAGCTCTGATGCTGAGTCTCAGAAGGGAAGGCCTAACAAGGGCTGGAAGGGAAATTGATGCATAATTAACATATTTCTGCATCCTAGTCAGAACCCTGGTTTCAAGCATCTCTTGATGCTCCTTGAGGCTCTGCTATAGTGTGGAGTGGAATTTGACCTGTATTATGTGTAAGTGAACAAACTGTCTCATGTAGCCACTTTTTAGTTATTCATGATTGTATACTCAAGCATATGGCCTTAAATTCACATAGGCATGTATGGAATAATGCTATCTGGGGTTCTGTAGGGCTATTTGCTTTCTACTTTCTGTTTTCTTATTTTTGTGTGTCTATATGCATGTTTATGTCCCTGTGTATGTATGTATGCATGCTTGTGTACCCATGTGTGTGCCTGTATGTGTGTATGCTTGTTTGTGTGCCTATGTGTGTGTTTGTATATCTATGTTTGCCTGTGTTTCGTGTGTGTGTGTGTATGTGTGTGTGTTTGTGTATATCTATGTTTGCCTGTGTGTTTCGTGTGTGTGTATGTTTGCCTGTGTTTCGTGTGTGTGTGTGTGTGTGTTTATGTATATCTATGTTTGCCTGTGTGTTTTGTGTGTGTGTATCTATGTTTGCCTGTGTGGTGTGTGTGTGTGTGTGTGTTTGTGTGTGTGTGTGTGTGAGAGAGAGAGAGTGAGAGAGAGAGAGAGAGAGAGAGAGAGCTTCCAGTATTCTTTTATCCTAGGGTTACAAGTACATGACAACATGCCTGGCTTTTTAAAGATGAGTTCTGGGGATCAAAGTCAGGTCTTGGTGCTTGCAGTGGGATGGGGTGGGAGCTCTGCATGTGGGACCCCAGGCCTTGTCCAAAGATGATGTGCACTCTGCTCCTGAGCATGTTCAGCACATTTAGCGTTTCTTGAGTGAAGGGACCAGTTGCCAGCCTTTGGCACAGCTTGTCCTAAGTACGGCCTCCTCCTCCATCCTTGGCACCAGTGAGTTCATGGGCAGCTTAGGCTCCTTCCAGCCTTTCGCAGGTTCTCCTGTGGGTTAGGGTTTTTATTTGTTTGTTTGTTTGTTTTGTTTTTTGTTTTTACTCTCTGACAAATACCTGAGGTATATAGTCTAGAGGAAAGAATGGTTATTTTGGCTCATGGTTTCATAGATTTCCGTCACTTGGGCTGTAGTGAGGCTGACTGTTGTGGTGGAGGAGGGATTGCTTGTCTCATGGTGGAGAGGAAGCAGGTTCACTGGGAGGAAGCCCTGCTTAGGTTGACTCTTTTTTTAAAAATTTTTTTTTTGAGACAGGGTTTTCTGTGTAGCCTGGCTGTCCTAGAACTCACTCTGTAGACCAGGCTTCTAACTTAGAAATCCGCCTGTCTCTGCCTCCCAGGGGCTGGGATTAAACATATGTGCTACCACTGCCCAGCTTAATGTAGGTAAAAGTGTTTTATTTCTATTATCAACAATCTTTGAATCTATACCATGCTAATGCTAGTTCACTTTTACTGTACTGTTCAGAAATGTACAGATGCGAATTCTTGGAGCATGTTACGTATTTGAAGGAAATCAGACAGCTCAGAGATTTTATACGAAGCTTTAGTAATCATTGTCGTGCTTCTTATAGCCTCTTTCTGATACACAGGCCTGTAGAGACCTAAGGTCTGAGACATTTGCGGAGGTAAGGGCCATGACATCACTTGAGTAGCGCTCTCTTTGCATTGTTTTTCTTACGTCACCTCGTGTCCTTCACCCCCAGGAGCTGACCAGCGCACTGGTGCACTTGAAACTGCATCTTTTCATCCAGATCTTCACACTTGCCTTCTTCCCAGCAGCAGTATGGCTCTTTCTTCAGCTCTTAGCCGTCACGCCCATCAATGAGTGGCTTTTAAAAGGGTATGTTTAAACCTTTTGACTGGTATTCTTTTAATGGGGCAGCTCTAGTGACATTATCGTTTCTATAGCAACTGCAAACTAAAGGACTTGCATTATAAGGAGACCACCACCTTTTAAACACTGTTAAAGCAGTAAGAGTTTGATCAGAGGTTCAGGGAAGAATTGTTTAGCAGAATCTTAAAGTAGATCCCTGTGCCTAATTTTAAGGTTCCCCAATGGACACTTTCTGGGCACTTGAAGTGAGCAGGAGAGGAGCTAGGGATCTGGCTCTGTGTGGCGTGCTCTCTTATGCACGCATGAGGACCTGAGCATGCCAGTTTCCCCCAGGTTGTAGGAGATTGGAGCATTGATAGGTCTTGCTAACCACCAGCTTGGTTCCAGGCTCAGCCCCTGTCTCAAGGGAATAATAACATGGAGATTGAGAGTGGATTACAGCTGATGTTCTCCTATGTTTTCTGGGCCTGCACAAACACATGCACCCATGCCTGTTTCACAAAAGTGAACATCAGAAGATACTAGAGGGTTCCAGATGTGTCTGCATGGGAATGTAGGCTGGCAACTGGTGCCTTACCGTGAATATTTTTATCTTTTCAAGTTATCATGTTTAATGAAAAGAATTTAGCAATTGAAAACTAATTAAACTAATTTCAATCTAACCTCACTTCAGTGTCATGTTATAGCTGGTAACACCAACCTCAGAGCTGAGAGGTTGCCCTCTGACCGTCTGACACTTCATGTGACTTTCAATAAAATTATCTCATAGACAATTAACCTGCTTTTCTCTGTATAAATTAGGACAACCACACTTTAACCACATACTTGATAATGATGTTGACTGCATCAAAGTTTTCTATCCAGGGTGCGATTTCTTTGTTATCCATTTAGCCCTGCCCTGTGCCATGGATTATTTCAGATGTTGCAGAAAGGACAGCAGACAAAAGTGGCCCTATGCTAATGCGTTGTCGCAGAGGCGACACCTAGAGTAGACACTCAGCCATCGGTAGGAAGGACATGATGAATGGTCACGTTGGAGGGAAACGGTGCCGTGGGGTTGTGTGGGTAGGCTGCTGGTGGGCCTGGTTCTTCCCAGAGTTCTTGGCACAGGAAACAGTGGACAAAGGCATTCAGGCCGAAACAAGCCCGGGGTGTTTAGATAGGTTCAGTAAAGCAGCCCAGTGGGCATGTCTCGGTCATGTTTCGAAGGACAATAGGAGCTGAAGGTTTTGAAAGATATGCAGGTGCTGAATGAATACACAGTCTTGTCAACCACAGCCCTGTGTCCAGATCTTATTCTGGGTGCTGTAGGAAGCTGCTTCCAGGGCTGCCAGGAGAGAAGCAGGTGATACGACTCCTGCTTGCATGGGAATCTTCTGGCTGTGACGTGGCTGGTAGAGGGGCTTGAGATGAAATGAGGGAAGTAAGTATGGAGGCCAGCGGAATGTGGGAGCGCAGCAGAGGAATGATTATGATAGGATAGATTGGAAATTAGAGTTCTTGTGACCTCTGTATGGGGTGGGAGGCTGTGGCAGTCGCCAGGAGATCAAGGCTTCGGGGCTGGGGTGAATGGCAACTTGGTTTACTGAGCTAGGGGACACTGATGGCCTAGGAGTAGAGAGGGATAAGGAATGCACTTTTCACTGTATTGTGTTTCTGAGAAGGGGCAGGACCCTCGCCAGGAGAGGTAAAATGCCACATCAGTAAGAAAACTTCAATTTCAGAGCAACGATGTCATTCTGTGTACTAAGAATCAGGAAGTACTGAGCATCTGCTCTGTGTGGGGCATGAAGGCGTAGGAAGATGTTCTTTATTTTCCTTAGGGAACTCCCAATCCAGTTGACTACATACAAGATGCATGTGTTGTTTATACATGCTTACATGTGCTTCTGTGAATGATAGGACATACCAGTTAAAGATTTCTCTAGAGTCAGCACCTTCACCCCTCAGGATGTTAAAGGAGCCCACACATGCTCTCCCTCCTCTAGAGAAATCTCTTCTCAAGTCCCCTGTCCTCCCTTGGCCTCCCCAGTTTGAGTAGACACACTAGTATGTTTGTGTTCTGGTTCGTTCTTCTGTTGCTATGGTAAACACCATGACTAGTAGCGACGTGGGAAGGAAAGGGTTCATTTCATTATACTTTCAGGTGATAGCTTGTCATTAAGGGAAATCCAAGCAGGAACTGAAGCAGAGACCATGGAAGAATGCTGCTCATTGGCTTGCTCCCTGTGACTTACCTTTCTTATACCCAGGCCTACTTGCCTAGGGATGGTGCTGCCCATGGTGGCCTAGGTTCTCCTACATCATGTAGTAATCGAGAAAACACCCTGCAGACAGTGCTGTTGGCCAATCTGGTTGACACCTTTCCTCAATTGAGGTTCCTTTTTCCAAGGCTGTGTTAAGTTGACAATACAAACTCATCAGTCCAGTTAGGTTAAGGAGTAGGATAAATGAAAGGAGCAGGGTGGGCTTGGCACCATCAGCAGTGTGTGAGCATCCAGACATGCGTGACAAGTCTCTAGTCAGGGATGCTGACAGCAGTCTTGGTGTTGGTCTGCAGTTTATTTATAAGCAGCACACTACTCCAGGGTTCAAAGGAGGTCATGAGATGAAAGGGCTTAATTTACTCTGGAGCTCTGTTGTCTATCAGGGCTATCATTAATAATAAGGCATAATATCTACTTGATATGTTCTGCTGGCACAGTACTAGGGAGACTGAGGCTGGAAGATTAGGAATTTCAGCTATCCTGGGTTACATGGTGAGTTCAGGCTAGACCAAGTCTCAAAAAAAAAAAACCCAAAAAACAAACAAACAAACAAAAAACCAGCCAGCCAGTCAATCAATCAAACAAACAAACAAAGCAAATCTTCCCAGATCTTTGTTCTTACTTTGAGGGACAGGCCTCAATGTGTCACCCACGCTGGCCTCTCCTGACTATGTCTGTGTCTCCAGTGTTCTCAGTGAGCTTTCCTCCTGGTTAGGCCATAGTCTGGTCAAACCCTGGGGGATGCCCTTCAGTTTCAGTCCTTACATTTACTGCCTGTAGTTTGGTTTGCCCGACCTGCAGTTGATTTTCTACACTGACTGAGAGACTAGACTTACTCCTGTGACTATGGACGTATGGACACAATTTAATAAAAACAGTGAAGTGTGAGATTATGTCAGTGCCTCAAATAACTACAAAGTGAGAGTGTTGTTTGAGAGATGAACGTGGAGAATTGTAAAATGTTAACTTCTTTTCAAATATTTTGAGTTTTAAAGGCTGTCTTGAGGCTTTATTTTTTTTAACCAAAAGATCTTCTTTAAAAATACAAGGAAGATTTTCTTTTGTGACAAAGGTTTATTGTGTTGCCTATATTGTCTTTGAACTCATGCTCCTTCTGTCTCACCTTCCAATGAGCTGGGACCAGGGGTGTGTACTAGTTCCAGGGGACGATAACTATGGCAGTATCCCAAGATTATAGTATCTATTTTGATTTTCACTCAGTGACTCCATTTACTACAACCTGGTTCTCTTTTGAACTCCATAATCAAAATTTATTGATTATGTGTGTGTGTGTGAGTGTGTGAGTGTGTGTGTGTGTGAGTGTGTGTGTGTCTTAATGAGAAAGGGTCTCATGTATTGCTGGAATGGATTGTAGGCCTGCCTTAGTTTGAAGGATAAAACCCAGGGTATTGTGCATGTGGAACAAGCACTCTGACAGCTGAACTAAACTCCAGGCCCTCAAAGTTTAAGCTACATAAAAAATAAAACCTTTAAGCCTATATAAGTTATGAGCTCTCAGAGCCCATACATTTACCATATCTCCTAATCCATGTTGTTCCATAGTTTCTAAGCTGAACAGGGAGAGTGTATCAACAAACACTATATTCTTTGTTCAGCTCTGCTGTTTTAGAACTAATTAGTGGAAATTATCTATCACTGGAAATGAGCTATTTACAATTGGATTTTCTCTTATTTTTCAGTTTGCAGACAGTAGGTTGCATGCCTCCCCCTGTGTCCTCCGCCGTGATTTTAACCAAGGCAGTTGGTGGAAATGAGGTGAGTCACGGGGGTAACCTTATTTAAACACTAGTGTGTGCTGTGCTTCTGTGGGATTCAAGACTGCGCTTTGGACGTAAAATAATCATTTCAGAAAACTCATGTGAGCCGCTTAAGAAAGACATGGCTGTTTGCATGCATTGGGCCGAGGCTAAAATTGGTGATGCGTGGAACTAGAATTCACAGGGAAGTGCAGGGGGGCGGAGATGGTGACCTTCCTGTCTCAGTAGGGAGCTGGGGGGTGCAGCACAGATGGGTCCAAAGAAAGGGACCCTTGCTACCAACCTCACTGACCAGGTTGTGGCCACTTCCTCAAAAAACAAAAAGATAAACTAATAAATTGAATTGCTGGGTTTAGCATGTTTATAAATGTAGATGAGTTCAAAGAAATTACCTATCTGGCTAAAGACTGCTCCCAGCAGTTGCAGATGTTTCTTCCTTGAAGAAAGGGTTCTGGGACATCACGCTGAGGATCCTGCCTCCATTTTTATCTGTGCAGGAAGTGCTCTTGGGGAAGATATATTAGGTTTCCCATTTCTTTCCTAGGGTTTTGCTTCCTAAGCATGAGTTATAATTTTCATCCGTTTTTAAAAATACCTAATCTAATGCCTGCCACATTCTTTTGAAAATTACATGTGATAAACTATACACATATATATCATTTATTGATGCTGCAACGATAAACGGCACACTTACTGAAAGTATAAGTAAGTATTTATTGTAGAAATTACTCACAAGAGACAAACAAGTAATCCAGATGAGTTGAGTAGTTTTCTACCGCCGAACTGGAAGCCGGAAAGCCAGAAAAGACAGCGAGACTTCTGCTGTTCAGTCTTTCATACCTTCCTCCGTATCGCCCCTAGCCATGCCCAAAAGTGGTCCTAGCTAGTGACATAGTTCACCGCCTACGTCCATATACGTCTTTAGTCATGCCTAAAGTGGGTGTGGTTAGCAGTGTGGTAAACTGCTCTTTTATTACCTCATCTGTATGCAACTAAATAAGTCACATGGCTAATGGCAGAGCACTTTTCCTCCTACAATTCCCCTTTTAGTCTAAAAAGGATATTTAAACTTAAAACAACTAACTTGGGCTGGGCGGTGGTGGTGCACGCCTTTAATCCCAGCACTCGGGAGGCAGAGGCAGGTGGATCTCTGTGAGTTCAAGGCTGGGCTGGACCGATAGCCTCCAAAACAATACAGAGAAACCCTGCCTCGTAAAAACCAAAAAAACCCCAAAACAAACCAAAACAAAAAAAAACAACTAACTGTGTCAATGAACAAAATGTATCAAACATCTATCCCATCTAAACCTAAATTTATCTGAACCCCTCTTTCCAATCCCAACTCTAAAATAATGGAAAACTAACACTAACAGGTGTAAACTATCCTATAATATCAATAGTAGGGAGAGGGGGTGTGGAATTCTCAAAACTACTTCCTGCTGAGATGGGACGATGACAATCTCATGGGGACCTGTGAGAAGAAAAATGTTAGTGTAACAAAATCTTCAGTAGATCAGACAGTCTCTGTATGGCACGAGATGCTTGATTAAAGTTCCTGACTGGAGTTTTAGTGTTGATTGAAGCTCTCCTCTGAAGCTCTGGCCAGAATGTAGAAGGTGTGCTGTTTCAGTTCCTTGGTCTGTAGTTGTGTCGAGTGATGTAGTTTCAGGCCAGTTTCAGGATAGTGCTTGTCAGGTGGAGTCAATGATGTGGGGCAGTTCAGATGCCTCCAGTCGAATCAGGTGGAGTCAAGGAAGTGGATCCTCATTCTCTTTCTGAAGCAGTTGAAGATTGCTGCCAGGAAATCCCTTGTTCTCTGGAAAACTCAAACATTAATGTTAACAAAGAAATATTTTAACTTTTATATGTATGCATACCGGAAGAGGCGACAATAGGGAAGATAGTAAACATGAAGGAAATTAGACTTTTCAGAAAAAGAAATTCACAAATAGCAGTCCCTAATTTTGTTTCTTCTGTCTTACATCAATGGCTCTTTGATATAATACAGAAATTCTGAATTTTATTTAAATAATATACTTGAATTTAGAGTAGGAGAGCCAATCCAACTCCAAAGCCAGCTTCAGTTAAATGAATGGGGACTGAGGTATGTGAAGAAATAAAGATAAAGGGGTACTATGAAAAAACAATATAGAGAGATTTAGACTTTGATACCACACAGTGAGTTTCTGTTTGTTTGATGGTCCTCAGGGAAGCTATTCATTCTTCTTCAGGAATCTATATGTCCAGTATTCTTTGCTGAGTTTACCTGTGAAGACAAAAAACAAAACACTTCTCTTTCCTTTTATGAGGTCACTTTACCCATGGTAGAATGTGATTTTGTAGATGAGCTGTTACCTTTCCTCCTCCTGAGATATCTTCTTTTCTGATCGAATCTTAATTTTGATGGAACCCAAAGTTTTTCTTCTCCTATGGAAACAAAAGCAAAATCCCTTCCCCAACGTAACACATATCCTGGTTTCCAGACTGAGGTCATAACATCCTTAAAATACACTGGTTGGTTCAGTTCAGAAGTCTTCTCTGTAGTCCAGTGTCTTTCTGCTGCAGTTTGTCCTTTTTCATCAGCATTAAGAAAATTCAACATTAGTAAAGCATTATGTAACCTGTGTTTGGGGGTCTTTGTTCCCCCTGGCTGTTTATGAAGCATCTCTTTTAAGGTTCAGTTAGATCTTTCAACCACTGCTTGTCCTGTGGGATTGTAAGGTATACCAGTTATATGTTTTATATTATAATATTTGATAAATTGTTCAAATTTACTGGAGACATATGCTGGAGCATTGTCAGTTTTTATTGTTTTAGGTATACCTATAACAGCCATCACCTCTAAGAGGTGTGTAATAACAGAATCAGCTTTTTCAGAGCTGAGGTCAGTAGCCCAGTGGAAGCCTTAGAACGTGTCTATGGTATGGTGTACATATTTCAAACTGCCAAATTCTGGGAAGTGAAATACATCCATTTGCAAAAGTTCATTTCTGTCAATACCTTTAGGATTACAACCTGCTGGTAATGGAGTTTGATTGTAGAATGAGTAACTGGGGCAATGTCTTACTATTTCTTTGGCTTATTGCCAGGTGATAGAAAAATCCTTCTTTAAACCTTTGCTGTTAACATGGTGTTTCTTATAAAATTCTGAAGCTTCCAACACATTAGCTATTAATAAACAATCAATTCCATCATTGCCTTGTGCCAGAGGACCTGGCAGACCTGTATGAGAACTGATGCGTGTTATATATATAGGATGAGTCCTGTTTCTGATGGTTTCCTGTAATTGTAAAAACAATGAGGTTAATTCTGTACTATCAGGAACAAATTCTGCAGTCTCAATGTGCAAGACAACTCTCTCTGCATACTGACAATCTGTGACTATATTGAGAGTCTTTAAGTACCATGAGAATGGCATATAACTCTGCCTTTTGTACGGAGTTGTAAGGGCTTTGATCTACTTTATTTATATTTCCTGATTTATACCCTGCCTTACCTGATTTGTTTGCATCCGTGTAGAAGGTAAGAACTCCAGAAATAGGTGTTTGCCTCACGATACGCGGAAGAATCCAAATTGTTTCTTTATGAATTTGATTCTCTCTCTTTTGGGATAGTTGTTACTAATAGTTCCCAGATAGTCACTGCAAGCTATTTGCCAATACTCATTATCCTTCCATAAGGAGGAAATTTCCTCATTAGTTAAAGGTACAATAATTTCAGCTGGGTCTTTCCCAGTCAGTTGACGAAGCCTTAACTTACCTTTTAATATCAAATTTGAAATCTTTTCTATATATGTTTTCAATTTTTTATCCTGTTTATGTGGCAGAAATACCCATTCTAGTATGATGTCTTCCCTCTGCATTAATATTCCTGAGGGGTATTCTCTAGATGGTAAAATAACCAGAATACAGTCCAGTTTTGGATCCACATGATCCACATGTGCTTCTAATATTCTCTTTTCTACCCATCATAATTCTTTTTTCAGCCTCAGCTGATAGTACTCATGGGCTGTTTAGGTCTTTATCTCCTTTAAAAGCCATTTTCAGGTGTTTTAAATCATGCTCTTCTACACCGATAATTGTCTATAATTCAGAGATTTCTCTTCTGATCTGTACTTTCTGCGGTCTAATTTTCTGAGAGCCTATCTTACAACCTAAATAGTTAATAGAATCTCCTCTTTGTATTTTTTCTGGGGCAATTTTTAATCCGCAGCAAGGCAAAGTTTCATTTATTGCTTCAAACATCTTTTCCGAAGTATCCTTATTTGAATCAGACAGTAGTATGTCATCCATATAATGATATATTAATGAATGTGGAATTTTTTTACGAATTATTTCTAGAGGTTTATGCACAAAATATTGACACAAAGATGGGCTATTAACATACCTTGAGGCAGCACTTTCCAGTGTAATCTCTGTACCGGTCGGGAATTATTATAGGTAGGTACTGTGAAGGTGACCTTTTCGCTGTCATTTTCTTGTAACGGTATGGTGAAGAAGCAATCTTTTAAGTCTATTAACTATAATTGGCCAATCCTTAGGTATTACCAAAGGTAACAGCATCCCAGGTTGTAGAGACCCCATAGGCTGAATTACCTTGTTGATGGCTCTAAGATAAGTAACCATTCTCCACTTACCAGACTTCTTGAAAACAAAAACAAGGTGAATTCCATGCACTAGTTGATTCCTCAATATGTCTAGCATCTAGCTGTTCCTGAACTAACTTCTCCAAAGCATCTAACTTCTCAGATGTCATAGGCCATTGACCCACCCAGACATGTTTATCTGTCAGTCATTTTAAGGGTAGAGCTTTTGGTTGCTCTGTAGTTTTGGCACTAGCATCCTGTTTCTGTACAGTCTGTATGTTTTTTATCTGTTTTCTGTACTGCCTTACTGTATTCTTTCTATCAACAAGAGCTTGTCTATAATTCCTAGCTGATACAGAAGGAATGTTAATCTGCGTATTCCATTGCTGTAATAGATCACCACCTCAGATGTT